TTTTAAATTAGGTAATCTATATAGGTAGATTAGATAACTAGTAATACTATTTATACTTAGAAAAGGAAGGGTTTAAACTAGGTAGTAACTACTATTTATACTACTATTTATATAATATACTAGAGTTTTATTATTAAATATAAGATATTATAGGAATTACTTAGTAATTTATATAAGAGATTTATATTAAAGAGTAATCCTACCTATATAACTAGGTTTTATTAGTAATAGTATAACCTAGATTAAGGGTTAGATTATAATATAAATATTAATAAATAGCTTATTAATTAAGAAATAGTCTAAAAATAGTATAAGAGAGTAAAAATAACTAAGGCTAATAATACTAATAGTTAATTCCTTAATACTATATTAGTTATATTATCTAGTTTTTATAAAACCTAGGTTCTAAGATTATAAGATAAGAGCGATATACCTTTTACTAAGTTACTTAACTAGTATAAAGCCTACTAGAATATTACTTATAGTAAGCTAAGAGTTTAAAAAGGTATCTTAAAAGTAGCTTTTTTAATCTAATAAGGCTATAAAGAAGCTAAATAAAGAGTATAATAATAGTACTAGCTCTAAGAAAACTAGCCTAGAATTTCTATAATCTAATAGAATATTATAGGTAGCTTATATATCTATTTTTATTAAAGGTCTAATATCTTTTATTATTTTAATTTAAGTAGAATTGCGATTTGCTGAACCGCCGCCCTTTTCGGCGCCGGCTCGGTCGGGTTTAGCGCCGCCCGCATCGGGTATCGCGTCCGTCCATTTGGGGCTTAGTCTTCCGTAACAGGGTTGGCGCCTCCCGCTAGCCCGGATCGGGTTCTGCCGTCCCCCGCCGCCCGCCGCGCGACCTCCGCCATCTATATAACCCGCGGTGCGTCGCTCGACGACCACATCTTCTTTCCCACACATTCTCTGCCCGTACCTCTCCATTCTGCCTCGCCGACGCCACTCTCTATCTAGCTGACGCGGCCTTTGCCCGCCGGTGAAGTCCACGCCCTAAGCACAGCCTACCTCCCCACTCGCGGAGATTGGAAGGGGTCGGCCTGTTCCAGCGACCCCCCTCAATCACTCGACTTCTCAGTCCTGCATGGCTCTTTGCTGCAAACTATACAAAAAAAAAATGGCATTTTTAGCTGTCGTGCCTATAATCCTCGGGCTGACATTTGGGAGTCTGGGGAGCAATCTGGGAGGAATACCGTTTTGCAATATCCCATGGTTTGGCTTGCGAATGCAATGCAGCTCACCACAGATTGATCGCCTCACCTCTCCAACTGGGCTCCATTGCGAATAGTCAGTAACTCGCTAATTCGACCCGCTTTCGCTCAGTAGCCAACCGCAAAAATGCCTCAAGAATCTCCGCCGCCGCGCTGAGACATCGCCGTCATCCGTGAAATCGGGGGCATGAATGTTCAGCTTGTGTGATTGGTGGACTTTGGGCTGCGGCTGGCTCCTAGGATCGTTCCATTGTCAATCACTTCCTGATTCCTCAATTGTCAGCTGAGGTGCCTTGAAGGCTGCGACGTTGTCCGAAAGTTACTACTACAAACCAAGACGCCCTTGGGCAAGGTGGCTTGGCTGATTCGCCGAAATATTCCCCACTGATTATAATGCGCCATCTGAAAGAGGCATCAGCGGGGCAGCGATATTGCTGCTCGGTAGAATGGGGATGGCAAGGCGGTACACCGCATGATACTCTGATACTTGCCTAGCATTGCCCTGTCATCGCCGGGTATTAAAGGGGCGACTATCCACCTTTCTTTCATCCAGATGATTCTGAAACGGACACACCCGATCCCATTGCACTCCCAGCCTTCCTTGCTTGATGTTGCCGTCATCTACCTAATTTATCTCTGACTACTTTCTGAGAAATGGGGATCAATCTTGACGAGATCCACTTTTACCACGGCCCAACTCGCCCGCGGCCTTCTACCAGCGCAGGAGGTGCGAACCCCCGTCACACTACGACACATGTGCCACACCATCTACAGCAATCCTTTCAGTTCTTTCCCACTGGGTTCGACCTCCATCCAAGGCCTTTTGCGATGCCGTCCGGGCAGCCGCGACCACTCATCGGTGCAACTCACGAGTGGAACATATTTGACCTTGAGATCAACAATGTTTCCAGTCATACTTGCCCTGAAATGACGAAAGTGTTCGAGCCTCCAGCGACAACAAGCATGCCAAGTGCTAGTAATACTCTGCTGGAACAGGGGGCGTCCGCGCGGCCTTCCTCAGGGTCGGTGCTACCGACGGGTTCCGCAAACTCAACTCCATACTCTTCAGTGCCAGACCAAGTGGATACTACTTTTCATGATATACAAGGAAACGAGTCACCGGGTAAGTCGGCGCAATCTATAATGATGAAATTCTATTCCGCATTGTCTTAACTGTCTCTTTCCAGATGCTGCGCCTGAGACTACAGAAATTGAGACTGCACTCCCGTGTGTGCCTAGTGTGGCCGCGCCCGAAGAAGCAACACCTGCGTCGAGCGACCCCTGTGTTGTGGGTGATTTCCAACAAGAATCGGCCACGCGGCAATCATCTACGACTGGCTTCTCAGACAGTCCGCATCTTGGGGAATCCGAGAATGAAACAGAGCCAAGCCAGACATCTGCGCTGAGTGCAACCCCGTGTTCCAGTGTGGATCAAGCCAAGGAGTATGGTAGAGATTCGGGCACTGATGAAGACCATCTAGCCCCATCCGGGCCCTCCCTACCCCCGAATATGCGCTCTGTTTCAACAGGTTCTCGTGGTCAGACGAAATTGAGTTTCGACATTCCAGTACGCTACCCATCCATTGCGGTGGTCGTACCACCGCCATCCTGGAAGCAAGGACCCGCCAGGACAAGCAAAAGGGCCGCTGCAGCAGTATGTAAAAAGAGACTCCGCTCAGGTCGAAGGACCAACCATCATCATGATGGGAACAACACCGATAGCACAGAGCAGCCGAGCCGGAAGAGGAAGAAACGCAGGCCTTCAGACTCATCTATTTCCGCTCCTCCTCATCGTTCCGGTGAATCTCAGGGTATACGCGGAAGTGCTCTCCTGACTATTGAACCGAATTCCGGTCCGAACCCGGCGTATTTTTTCACTTTCGTGCCCGACTCCAACCTGATGCAATTCTGTACCCAAGCGGCAGCTATTCCCGCAGAAGAAATACAGTACACCTCAGACGAGAATGCACTGCTGGTGCGGCTGAAGGAAAAGGAGGCAATACCTTGGTCGGAGATTGCAAGTCACTTCCCTGGCCGGAATATGTCATCCCTTGAAGTCCATTATTTAACCAAATTACGCCACAAGGCCAGCTCTCGGTCTGGGAAACTGAGGAGACGCAAATGAGAGAGTATGTTGTCGGTGTACTCCTTGGCCAGCCTTTGTCAATTTATTTCCGGCGTGCACAGTATCCTCCAAAGCCGTTTCCTCCAATCCTACTCATAATCAGTAGCTAGCTATACTAGGAAAAGTTGGGCTCGTTTTGGTTCCTCCCGCTCATCAAAAGAAGCTTTGAATTTCCATCCGGCACTTTTCGAGATTCAAGCGGGCCATGAATTCGTGCAAGCTTTGGACGGCTGAGCCATGGTTGCCAATACAGAATATTCACATAATGTATATGTATGCGCCTGAAAGGGGAGTGGTTGTTTGTGATAGGTCTATATCCCATTGGATGACTGCTTCTCATTTCTCCACTTTAGAGTCGCGAACTTGGTGCCGCCGTCTTCAAACCTTGATTTGATAAAGTGCCGGCCGATAGTTCTGTCCGAAAGGATATTTTCTTTGTATGTGTTAATATTCTTTCCGGAGGGAATCCTTGCATTGAACAACGTCTATCTCATCGAAAACAGTTGCACATGCTCGCAAGTATTAGGTAGCCACAGCCGTCTGGTGCTTCATTCCAAGCGTTCTATACTTTACCTTCGCAATTTCGCAATAGCTGTACATGTACTTGACCTCGCTTGACTGATTTAAGCCCGTCAGGTCTATGAGATTTGGTAATGGGGTTAAAAGATGGATTTCGACGATTGAGTGCGCATTGGCTTTGTAAATCCGGGAGAACCACTACATATTAGCAAAGCTCCTGGCAAAGCTTCCAACCACCTATCTACTTTAGGTATGGAATTCGCCCTACCATTTTATCACATGTGTAATCATATTCATCCTAGGTAATTTACACCACCACGCACCGCCATGACCCCCTAGCCACTATACCAAATACAGGATGGTTATATCGTAGTAAAACCCCTAAAAATAACAGGTTTTACAGTGGCACCGCCCCATTCTCCAGTTCCACCGGTCACAGACCCGCCTATCTACCTACATATGTAGGTAATCTCCAAAATATAAACCGACTCGGATTTAATAAATACATACCTTGAAAGTCTGTTGGGATAATTTGTCTACCTATGGTCATTTTAAGCCGCGGAAATCCAATACAAACGATTGATTTTTCTTACCGATCCGAGTCATTTTGCCATAGAGCTCCTCTTGTTAAGATTGTTCCCGATGTCTTGTTCAGTTCGGATTGTTGCGGATGTGCAAACATTTCATTTGAATGGTTGCAGAAAATGAGATATTTTAATTGGGCCTGTCCCTCCCATCCATGGCCCTAGGTACATGCATGCTGTATCTTCACCCTATGAAGGTTGCGAGCGAATAATATGCAAAACACGTGTCGCAACCCATATGGGTGCGAGCTATGTTTGCTTCTGCGGCTCCTCAGGATGACGTGATATAGCTCAGCCTCACTGTACATAGCCGCTCACTACGTCCCCTTGTCGGTGCTCTGCTCGAAAAGAATCCCGTATCATGGCTACGCGTTTATAGTCTCATCCCTCGTCCTGATCATTAATGACTTGATGAGCGCCATTTTATGAGATGGATTTTACATTCAAAATGGGCCAGAATTCTCCAAGTCTGCAATATCCGACATCTTCGGCAACTTTGATAGATTCAGATGGACGGGATCAGTATGGGCTGAAAGTGCTTTCAGAAGGGAAAGCGCCCGTCACTATCGAGTAAGAAACGTTTCGGCTCGCAACAACTGATTATCGCATACCTTCTAACAACTTTCAGTATAGTCGCAGTGCACGGTCTCGGAGGTCACCTTCTTCGAACATGGACACACAAAAGCCAATGCTGCTGGCTAAGGGATTTGTTACCCGTGGATATTCCGGACGCACGAATCATGACTTTTGGTTATGATGCAAAAGTGATAGGATCTTCGATGAATACATTTAAAGACAGCGCCCAACTGCTGCTACAACACTTACTCCTTAAGCGTGACCCTGAGCTGGTATGTGTATTTGAGACGAAAGCATCAAAAGAGAAGAATATCTTTCTAACATTTAAACTTTAATCTGAAGATCCCTTCCAGTCGACCTATCTTGTTCATCTGTCATAGTCTTGGGGGACTTGTGACCAAGCAAGTACGTAGGCCCCTTGTGATATCCCGCGTTCTCTGATAGGTATTAACATTTAAACTATTTTAGGCTTTAGTCAAAGCTTCTTCATCCCCAGAGTATAAGGCAATCCGTGGATCTACTCTCGGTACAATATTTATGGGAACGCCCCATCGAGGATCTTCCGTCGCTTCTCTGGGAAAGGTAGTTGCCAATATTGCTAGATTGTTTCCTTTTAGCATCTCAACATCGCATTTGAATAGCCTTCTCCCGGACTCGCGAGATCTTTCGGAACTTTCTGCTGGATTTCTCCAAAACATCCAGAGCCCTCCAGTAAAAGTGGTCAACTTTTTTGAGAGCAAAACAACCAAGATTGGTCTTATGAGAATTCCCGTGAGCTTGACCTAGCCTGTTCGTGCATGTGGCATCTATATTCATTTTATTGACCCGGAGAATAGATTGTGCCACAGGCATCCGCAATCATGGACCCAGTTGGACCTATCCGAGAAGGGATCTCTCTAGATGGTGATCACCGTCAAATTTGCCAGTTCTCTAGTGGGGATGACACTCAATATCAGCTTGTTCTTCGAATAATCCAGTCAATTATGGCTCCAGAGTCTGATGGTTCACCACCCCAGGTCGAAAATCCCAGAGGTAAGTATGATTGAGGTACGACATCTGCGCTCTATTACTCATATCAATTGAAGCAGGTCAATGCAACGTTGAAAGCCTACTTTTACGGTTACAATATCGCTCGGTCCCTTGGCTGCAACCAGTAAAGGGAACATGTCAATGGATCTTCGATTGTCTGCCCGTCAAAAAGCTAAGGCGGGTTGATGAAAACAAGATGCTCTGGATATATGGCTCACCAGGTACTGTACTGAGTTCAATAAATCATCAATGTGATGATTGATAATCGAAAAGGTCTAACTCTTAATAGGTGTTGGGAAAAGCTTTCTCTCGTCCTATATCGCTAAGAGCCTCAGAGCGGAGACCGACGCGATCGTAGTCTACAACACATTCAATTCACAGACATCGGGTAGTCGAACGGAAGCAACCCTTGCTTCGGTCATATTGGGTCAGCTTTTAGCAGAACCCACATTAAAAGATCTCGTCCTATCTACTTTGATGGAGTTATATCGAGATCGTCCTGATGAAATGCAGATCTCCTTTCGAGAAGCCCTACAGATCCTCTCCAAGACTTGCCAATATAGCCGACGGTGTTATCTTGTGCTTGATGGCCTAGACGAAATGGCTGAGAGTACAACCACAAAGACACGATTGCTTTGTGCTCTCCTGGATTTTCAGCTGGAAGGTCATGCTCACGGTCTCAAAACTATTGTGGTTTCCCGGGATGTCACCCCCTTTCGAGAGATGCTCTCTTTCGACCTGTCACTCCAAATTGGAACAAAACATACAGAAAGCGATGTGGCGGCGTTCGCTAGACTCCACCTGAGCAGAATGGCGCTACCAGACTCAATGATCGATCTCGCTAGCATCACTGTTCAGCAGAGATCCCGTGGTCTTTTTATATGGGCCTCGTTATTCATTTCTAGCCTTCAAATAGAATCTAACGAGAAAGGCGACCTTACTTCCTACCTCTTGGAGGCAGAAGAAGGGTTGAGCTCATTATACGCGCATGCAATGCTACAGCTACACCGGTCATCACCAGAGCTACTAGAGCCTCGCAAACTGGCCCTTACTTTTTGTGCAACCGCTGATGTGCCTCTCGATCTGACCGATATAGATGACGCTATCAGATTTGGTTTGAATTATCGTATGGATACTGTGGAGATAGTTCACAAGGCATGCGGTCCGTTTGTTGAGGTGACTGACGGCAAAGTCTCGCTTTGTCATCTTTCTGTTCGAGATTATGTCTTGGCTAGAGATACAAGAGGGAATAACATTTTCCTGCCAGATTCTGAAATGGCTGCCCATGCAACAATGGCGACCATATGCCTGGGATATCTCTGCCTTGATGATCATCAGCAACCATTTTCATGCGTACCATGGCACGATTACCAAGAAAGTGGACAATACCCTCTCCTCAGATACGCATGCCTAAACTGGGAGAGGCATATGAGACAATCTGGTCCGCTAGATCCGAAATTCTTGAAGATTCTCAGGAAATTTGTTACATCCAATGCCGGAATTCGCTGGGCAATTTGCTACCACCCGCACTTCCAACGCAAAATGGGCGAAAGTCATATTTCGGCCATTGGAGAACTTCGAAGTGTATTATTGCGCGTCAAAAACAGTGTGATAAAGAATGCTTCCACTGACGCGCGCTACTCAAGCCCAAACGCAGAGATTTGTCAAGCCTTGGATACGTTTCTCGTTCAAGCGTTCGAAACAGTTCTGGCAGTTGAGAGAAGCCTCGCTGGCACAAAATCCAGGAGTACTATTGAAAGGCTTCTTGAGCTTTCCAGAGTACTACAGGCCTGTGGTAGTCCCAAACAGGCACAGTTGACTGCCAGGGAAGCGTCAAGTATTGCAACAGTTCGCTTCGGCGTAATGGACCCATTATCACTGTTCTGTACGCATCACAACCTTCTCTTAGAGCTCAACAATATGCCCATGAATATGCATAGCGTGTCAAAAAAGGACATTCTTCAGGGCTTTCGTGATCTGAGCTTCTTAATGAACGAAGTGTTGGGGCGGTATCACCTGGAAACGCTACGATGCTATCATGACATGGGCCTGGCGCTATTCCGCAACCAGCAAGTCAAGGAGAGTTACCATGTGCTGAAACAGGTATACGAAGACATGAGAAAACATCTTGGCCCATCCAGGCTCACACAGCGAACGGCCAACAACCTCGCAAATGCACTATATACCCTCCGTCGATTTAATGAGGCGGAGTCTATCCTGTTATCGATTGAAGATGTACAGCAGCTTTCTAGGGTTGTGGTGTCTGTCGAGTTGGACTCATATCATATCTACAGCTTTGAAGCATTAGCACTACTGGCAAATGTTTTTTTGCAGCAGATTCAGCCGGGCAAGGCTGTACCACTTCACGAGAGGGCCATTGCCGGTCGGGCGCTCTTAATTGGACATGACGCAGAACTATTTCTCTGGGTAAAAAACTTGGGATTGACTCTAATGTACCAGAAAGAATTTGGAAAGTCATCTTCACTTTATGTGCTTTGGATCTTCAATGGCCGTAAGAACATTCAGTCTGGGAAGAGCGTGGCGATGCTGCGTGAAAGTTTAGTTGAATGCCTCGAGGTTTGGAAATCTGCCTCCCAGCAGGGTCTCTGTGAGGCCCCCGTTTACGATGAAAAGGTTACAGCTGCGCTCGACCAATCTCTTGACAAAGATCCACTGGTTTTGAGTGTAGGTTCGCCACGTGCATCTCCATCATCTTTCACCTTGAACGAGGGCCTTTACATTGCCACTCTCTGCTTTTTTCTTGTTCTGGCTTTATACATTTGTACCCATTTTTCAACCTTTAGGTAGAAATATTCGAAATTGAGGCGGTCTTATTCAAATGATCAACAGCGTATATATAGCATTGGAGCTAAGAGTATTATTCATTGACTTTGTTTGCGATATAATCTCCTTGAGGTTTGTCTTTTGTCGCAGACATCTGGACGCACGTCCCGTGCGGGACAGGCTTCAACATTGAAGGGAAGAAACAGGCCCCGGAATACACCCCCTTTTTGTAATCCCACACTCCCCTCCACCTACTCGCCCTAAAAGGGTTAAGTGCTAATCTCGTTATACATATTTGTCTCTTTTTTTTTCTGCTGTATGTACTATAACAATATGGTCCTCTATGTTAGGGCGAGGGGGTTTTTGCGTATGTCGGACAGTGTCCAGCACTTGAGGGCTACTAGCCCTGTAAGGCTGTTAGCGGGTAAGTGCCTAGGTATAGGGGGGCTAAGTGGGAGCCTAGAGGGGTAGTACGGCTGAGCCCTTACACTAGGTACGTACTGAATTTCTCTTGGCGCTTTTCAATGTTTGGTATTATTATCACAGTATACATATGTACCACGTCAAGCGTAATGCATATGGCAAAGGGTCTCATTGGTTGACTAAGCTTGAGTGAGGCTGAGCCATGCATGCCACCTGGGCACTTCATGCATGTGGTGTTTCAAAAGCTGCAGAAGCAAACATGGCTCGTATCCAATTATATCACAACACATGTTTCGAATGCCATTCGCTGGTAACATATACGGTATGAAAGGCACTAAATACTAGTGTCTCAAGCGCTATGTATTAAGTTGAGGGGTAGCCCTGGCTTGCAGTCTCTCGTATCCTTCTTTTACAGATTGACTCTCCCACAACTGCAATATCTCAGGTCTTGCAAAAGATTTACAGCTTCGCGACAACCTGTATTGAAATAGATATCCGGGGTGATTTTCCCAGAGAGGGTTCTGTGACAAAATGATTTGGATCGGTAAGAATAACCAGTCAGCTGGTCGTTTGTATTGAATTTCAGTAGCTCACAGTTGCGATAGACAGAGAACCTTTTCCGGCGGACTTCCAAGGTACCTCCCGAGGTCGTCTCTTTATGTCTCCAGGGCGAGCCCAAGGGTGCTGATACTCTTGTATAGAGCCTACAACTACTACCACGCAAGGAAGTACTACAACTACCACGCAAGGAAGTACTACAACTACCACGCAAGGAAGTACTGCACCTCCAGTCACAACGACAAATGGATCCGGTTACGGTGGTGGTGGTATTCTGAGACCGGAGGACTACAGCACTTGAGACCAAAGGGAACACTGGGCAAACCGCGCTAAGGAGAGAAGAAGAAGAGAGCTAGCCTCTGCCTATAGCCCAAAGCTCACCTCGGGCCCTTGGCCCAACCCATGGCGGAGGCCTAGATACAGTCGTGATACGTATTTCTGCTAAGATTTATGAAAGTACCCCACTTTATTTACCAGAATACACCTGTAAAATGCATGTCTAGGCGATACACCGCATTATCTATTTATGTTCTATTTGATCGTATGTATGCTACGTGGCACGCTAATGTATGTGATCTGGTGCCTAGACCCCTTTGTCGTGAAGCATTCATAGGCAGGTGACGGGGTGGTCAAGTGTTCCTTTGAGGGGCTGCACGGCAACTTCCCTCAGTTATAATATCTCATAGCCTCCCGTCGTTTGGAAATTTCCATCCACTTTTCCACAACTATCGGACGACGAAATCATCCAAGTTTTCTTACTGACTTCGACCGATTTGCAAACCCCTATCAATTTTACACAAGCTACATTGCTGCAAGGGAACATAGGAGACCATCGGTAAGTTCCATAATCCTTCCAACGAGCCCCTTGTCGCTAATTAATTTATTTCATAGCCCCGAAACTAAGCGAGGAAAACTTCGAGATACTTAGCAATATGACGGTAACCCACGACGAAACTGCCATCGCCAAGGAGTTGGCCACATACTGCTACGGAAGCTCTCAAAAGGGGCTAGGGTCGCATTGGAACCCCGACGCTCTGACTGATAACTGTGTCTTTGTCTGTCTCGCGTTTCTACTGGGTATGACTGCCCCCGAGCTCAGCAGAATAACTGGAGAAGCACAGCCAATCAACGGAAAACCTATGCAACCGGATGAGATTTGGACCTTGTTAATGAAGGTGAAGGAGAAGGGGTTGGCACACACATTTCAGATGTCGGAAACACCGTTTGAATACGACTGGAAATGGGCAAAGGATGGCGATATGATACTTTACGAACGACCGAATTCATATCGTCATTGTGTTGTTGGCAATGCAGATTTTCAAAGGGATTTACAGCACAGTCCTGGGGGGCCCAGTGACGATACGGGAATGAACGTCTCATGGGAGATCACAAAGAAAAATCCGATGCACAAGACAATCATGGTGGCGAAGCGTTTCCGGCCCCACAATGAAGAGATTGCACAGATTGACAATTACGGCGAGTACGGTTTTCACCGGGGTATGTAGGCGAGAGCGGTGGATATTCGAGCAACCCACCAGAACCCCTGTTCACGGCACTCCATCGGCCGCAACTAAGCTCTGCCGATTTTGCCAATTTTTCCATGAAAATATTTATTTCAGTAATTAATGTCTCGATTCTGATATCAATGAGTCGCTGAGCCCAGTCTCATTTGACTTACTAGTCGTTGCTTTTGATTGAATATCGTTTCTTGAATAGTGAGTCTGGCCACAATCTCCAGCGGCCTTTAGACAAAGTCATGCTTGGCCTGTGCCCATATCCTCCCCTCTAGGGTTATGAATGGAGGATCATTGACTTCGATAGCCACAAAATTTCCCAGATTGTCGTCCTACAGTTGCTCTTCCTTTTATCTATTCCAAATTGGTGCCCCGAACGGGTATTAAGTAGAATCCTGGAATAATGTTAAACTTCGCAAGTTGCCTATAAAGCGATCGACAACTCAAGATGCGCAGTCATGCAGTTCGTTACTGTGCAAAATTACGTATTAGCTACAGGCTCAGAAGCATTGCTGCTTGAAATATTTGCGATATGACCAATACCCAAGAAAAACATTTAAATACATGAACTCATGAACCCAAAATCATTCGAATATTTACGACGGATGAATGCATTGATTAAGATCTCAGTCTGTTTGATCGGCGCAACGGAGGCCTTTTGAGGGCTTTCACGTGACTGTGTCGTTTTTTCTCTTCCTTCCCTCCACATATTGGCTGCTCTGTTTGGCATTTTCTCCGAGATGAGCGTTTCACCTGTTGTGATCGAGACTTCGACTTTGGCGCAGAAGCGGGTTCTGCTAACTTTGCCGTGCTCCTCGTTGATCGTCTCATTGTAGGTTCAGCTGACTTGGGGTGGGAATATCCACCAGAGGGCGATAAACCTCCAGTATCTGGCTGGGTCGGCAAATTCATCGCAACGGGGACAGGATGTGCCTCAAATAAGCGTGGGTCAATGTTTTGCATCTCGAAGTCGACGGAAGAGGCGGGAGTCTCAGTCCTTTGTCGATTTCCAGACACTGGAGACGCTTCTTTGGATGAAACGTCGCTGTAGCTAGTTTGTGATGTCTGCGGGAGATGAGATAATTTGATATTGATATCATATGAATGTTGAGTGGAAGCATGAGCCAGAAATTCGGTGACATCACTGAACGGGGGAACCTCGCGACAGGTTTCCCAATTGTAGCTAATTCCATCGCGCGCATGGACCAGATGTGTATCAATTAGGTGGCGACGAAGAGAATCCTGTCGATTAGGAGGGAATTTGTGTGGAAGGGGGTTCGATGATGATTGACGAGTCTATTAGCCGAATACAGGCACATACTAGAACCTCTATATGATGATGTTTATACTTGTTTTATTTTTTATACCTACCCATATCGTATAGTAACTAGACTTCGGCAGAACCCATTTTGGGTCGGAACCTCTGACCCAAAACCCAACCCATTGGGTTTTGGGTTCCGCCCTCTATAA